CGTGCGTGCGTGCGTGCGTGCGTGCGTGCGTGCGTGCGTGCGTGCGTGCGTGCGTGCGTGCGTGCGTTGCGTGCGTGCGTGCGTGCATGCGTTCACGCATACGCAGCACTTTCGTGGACGCGACGCGAGCTAATGCCGGTGTAAACGCAACCACCTCGCGGATACCACTCGGTGCTCGCTCACGAAGCTCCGCTATACACCGCCTCGAGACTTCGCCGTCGCTTGTCTAGAGACAAGTGGAATGAACTCGCACGCACCTATGGGACTTCCGCGTCTTTCTGCGAGGCGCGTCAGCTCCTACCCGCTAGTAAAACCGGGTCCCGCTATATGTAGATGATTACTGATTACCCTGAATTGTAATCGAACGTCAGACGATCGATTTCAAACATATGGAACCGCGTGTGTACGGAAATCTAACTGTTGCTCTCATACAGTTATACGCGGTAGAATTTTACAACGGCCATTAGCTTCGGACAAAAGCGCGCGATTTCTCGAATATACAATTAGCCCCACGATGATAAATCTGTAGGAATAAATTAAGTACATTATGCGGAGTAGTTAAAGTTACACGTTTAATTTTAATATGCGGGATATATTCTCTCGAGCTATCGTACAATGACGGAAATTCAATTCGATGCTTGGGTTTGTTCACCTTTACGACTCTACACTTACTAATCTTACATAAATATAGGTCTATAAGCTTAATACATTTAGCAAAGCCGTAGGAAGGAATTAATGAACTGGGTAGCTGCTAGGGCTAGGGAACACACAGTGTACGGGAAGAGCGCGAGACAGAGAGGAGTATTACCGGATCAAGTAATGTAAAAGGTAGATTAATCAGGGGTACTAGTTGGACTTGTTACGATTCTGCCTCCTATGAGACCCCAGCAAAACGGCATGGTCGCCGATGCACGACGCCCGCATTGGAGTGCACGTGGTGACTCTCCAGCGACCGCGCAACCACAGCCGTGGTCCAGATAGATCACGTCCGATATAATTAATGAGCACGACCCGCAATTCCCATACACACCTCCGGCTCGCCTGGTCCGCCCTAACAAGCACCTCGGCGAACCTAAGCTAACTCGTGCAATCGAGAAATCGAATTGTTCCGTTCGCGTAGAGGAGGCATTATGTAGGTATCTGGGTGAGAGAGTCTGCGCTTCCCTATTCGCGATTTTACTGACAAAAATCGGCCATTGCAATTCGAATGGTCGTTAATTAAATTAATGACACGTTGTCAAATTCATCGAATCGAATAATTAGATATATACACAATAGATTTTTGCATTGTACGCTTTCTTATATTTAATATAATTTTTAGGCGAGCGTTGTCACTAATTAAATTTTTTTCACAATCTTTCCTTAGTGTTACAATAGAGCTGTCTAATAAAAAATGCTTGTTAATAATAATAACACTGATTAATTTGAAAACCAAAGAGATGTGCACAAATTGTCAAGATTAAAAGATTCCTAATATTAGAATACTAGTTTCTCTTTTCTATATAATAAATATAATTGTTTATAGAAAGAAAATGTAAATACGAATCTAAAATCAACTGTTCAACTATATTGCAGTATGTGCTATTAAATTTAAGCAAAAATATTTCAATGAAGGGATTAATAAATAAATATTTTAAGCAGACATTAATGCCATTAGACAAGTGACTTTAATTTCATGTGCATGAATGCGAATAAGTCAAGTGGCGCGAGGGGCATGTCTCTAGACGAGGTCGTGCAGAGAAAGTTGAGATGCTTAAACTTTCAATCAGGATGTCATAAGCGTTAGGCGAAATAACATTCTGTATCAGATATATTCGCTGAGTCATATTTTCTCGCGTGAATTGTCATCGGCAAGATGCAATTCAAAAGAGATGAATTCTGGACGTTGCGCCTACGCGAAATTCCACATGGCGCACAACAATTGATTGAATAAAGCTGATATCACGCAATCGAAAAATCAATATATATATTCATTGACAACAATTTGTTGATAATTAAAAATCTAATCGTGATATTTACACTGAGAAAAATGTCTGGTTGAAAATGGACGAACCAAAAGATTCCGATTATATCAATCAGAATTCCGATTATCTAGTTGGAAAAGGACAAATCAGAATTTTCCGCTTAAATCTACTAAAACTATAGTTGAGGTAACTAGAATGATTGATATAAACAGAATCTTCTGGTTTGTCCATTTTCAACTAAATGTTTTTCTCAGTGTGTATGCTGTGTATTTTTACAAATGTGACTATATATGTTGTCAATAACGTGAAATCATTTCGTAACAACATCTGCGTTGTAAATGTCTTTCGCTAATAAATTTTGCTGTATTGCTTCGTGATTACCATTATGGCGTAAACTTTTATAAATGGCGAAACTTTATAATTGCAAATAATATTAAATCTTCCTGATATTCGACGAGTATACGTATACGTTCGGTGATTGTAGTTTCGCGTCGACACCAGCGGTGCCGTCAAAGAAGGTATACATGTACGTTAAAAGAAACGTACAATTTGAATACAAACCACAACCACGATTACCGTGCGCAAGGCAGTAAAGCGAATTGCAACACATATACTTCGTATGGGCAAAGGAAGGCTTCCCCGTTCGTAATTTATGTTCTTGCTCTTAATGCGCTACTAGTAATGATTAAAACGTAATTTCCACGGATAAGAAGAAATACGGCGTACTTGCGTTTTCCTTCTCTTTGATTTACGGCGTTTTATTTTTCTTCGTTATGATTTATACCGACGATCGTTCTCCCGCAAACGCTTTCGCAAAATGCGATGTCCGATTCATTCCGCATTTTACCTAATAAAATCTAACAGCATACAAACGCAAGAACAACTTCTTAGAAGTCCAGCATTATATTATCTAATTTTTTATGAAAATTTTCAAATTTTTAGTTATATAAAAAATCAAAACTTTTCCCATTCTAAAATATTTTCTACACATCTCAATAATCAATTCAAAATATTGATCAAACTCACCCCGCAAAATGTAGAAATTGATAATTCTTCATCTGTTGGTTCTTCCGGCACGTTTTTCTCTTCTTTCACAGTGATCGTCAATTCCGAGTTGAGACCCGTTGCAGTTTCCGTCGCTTCCGGAACTTCCGCTATCAGTGTGTCACTCGAATCGCACTTGTTCAAATTCGTATCTTCCGTTGTCAGTGTTTCAAATGAGATTCCCGCATCTTTTTTCCCTTCATCGCGAAGATGCTCCGATTCCTTTGTTGGAATTTTCTCATCCGAAATGAATTGCTCTGAATTCGCGTCTCTGGCGTCCTCGTACAGAGACGTCCTACTTCTGTTAAGATCGGCCCTGCGATCCTCCTCCAACAGCCTGGTGAGAGCCTCGTGCGGAGTCTCCCCAAGGTTCTCGCCCCTCGAGAAATTCTCCTCGAGCGTTTCAAACGCGCGATCTTCGACAAGCTCCACATCACGGGCCGCCCCCTCGAGTCTCTCTTCGGGGAATTCCGTGTACTTCTCCGGAGGTTCGTCACGATCCTCCTGCTGACTCGCGCAGGTTGGAACGTCCTCCAAGTACCACGAAGTGCAATTCTCCTGGCGTTTCTTCTCCGTGACGCTCTCATCACCTTTCGACAACGCGCCCTTGCACTTCTTCAGGTAGCTCTTCACTTTCTTGGTCTTGCTCTTCCTGGTCTCCTGACTGCGTGGCAAAATATTATCCGTATTATCCGCCGCATCCCCAGGTGTTACTTCCGTGGGCGGTTTCAATTGCGTTTTCTCGGAATCGTGCACGTCCTTCGTCTTGGAATCGTGGATGGCACCGTCGAAAAAGACGCACGAATCCTGTTGATCGGTAGCCAGGGTCCATGTCTCTTCTTTCTCTGGCGGCCGACGATCCGCCGGGATCACCTGTAATAAAATCGACAATGTTATTATATTAATCTCAGCAAGTTCTCTTATAAAAATAATTAAGTTCCTCCATTACCAATGTTACGACCATCACCAGCAGCCTATCATGTTTCTAAATCATCGTAAATTATCTAGCGAATCGCGACAGCATAAATTCTCTCGCAACAGGCTCACGTTTCGCGACTGATTAATTTACATAAATGATAAGAAAAATGTCGATTGTGCGCGATAAGAATTGCGTCAGCTCGAAGGTAAGTTAAACGATATGGCGCGACTCACTCGGTCGCTTTCATAATAGTCTGTTAGATCGGTCAGGTAGTAGGGCTCGGCACAACCGTATCGGCAGCAATCGTCCGGCTAGCTGCGACGCGATACGTAAAACAATGGGCTTATAGTAAATATCGACGAGAAACGACGACGACGGTGTCGCCGTTAGCTAATATCAACCCCATGTGGCGCATAACGATGATATTTTACGCCGCGACTACGCGAAGCGTGCGCCCATAATACCACCGGGAATACAACTTCCTCCCGTAATATCTCCGATTTCATAATGCGCCGCGGCCTCTCGGTTTCCTGCTCTCTGAAATACGGCGATGCGCCGCTCCCGAGGACGTGAGTCATCGCGCGCGTGAAACGCGAATGCAAAGTGCTCCAGCTACCACCCCAGTCGCGCCAGAGACAACCCGGAGATGAGATCGAATCCTTCGAGAGTACAATGAGAAGAGGAAAAAACAGTCAAGATATAAAAAACAAAAGTTGTAAATACTTGTAACGATCATATCGGTAAGAAAAGTAAAAAATATCGGTGAGAGACGGTGGTTCACTAAGTTCACGGTAGTTCATTAAGTTCATGCAACAAATGTGCAAAACGGCGGCGAGATGCCCGTGCGATATGAGTAAAATGTTTGGATATATTTCGAATCCTTATCTTAATGAAGGATGCTTTCAGTTTTCTAAGAATAACCGCTCGAAGTTTCTAATGTCCTGAATACTATTGATAATTATAAGCAAATACAAAGTCAGATTTCCAAGCGCGATCCTCCTAGCGGTGCTCATTTCTACTGCGAATTACTTTGCAGAAGCGTTTAATTAACTATTTTTTTCGATTACGTCTGATTCAGCGGAGCCTTGACAATGACGTGAGCGTCTGTTTCGCAGATTCAGCGTCACTGTCAAGGTTCCGCGATCCCATCTTCAAGCGTAAGCACGCGAAAGTTGCAGACGAATATCCGTTTCCTCGAGTAAATCTCGGTCTAGCGGAGAGTTCGCATGTTTTCGCGGCGGGCAAAAATAGCCGCGCGAGCGGATCGACAGCGGCCGGAGCTGATTTTATATCGTTCCCCCCGCGAGAGAGGAGAGCCTACGAGAGCCCGGCTGGAGATCGAATCTCCGCGATGATGCGATAACGAGATGAGGCGTGGGAGCGGAGTCGAGCTAATCTTTCGAGCAGCGCAGGCAGCTCTCATTCGAAGCGCGTGTCTCCTCCGCGGCCGTTCTTGTGCCATCAAGAGGGAAAGTTCCCTCTTGAGTGCCTCTGGTCGTGTGCCTTTCCTCGCGCGTCGCGTCGAGCCGGAAAAGTGAGCGCGAGAAATAAATCGAGAACGTAATAGAACAGAGAGCGAAGCCGAAGCTGTTCATTGTGCCGTGCAAAACGGCAAAAACGACAGGCCGCAGTCAGTTATCCTTTCCCTCCCTCTCCGCCGCTCCTTTTCTCGAAGCGCAACCGAGAGTGCGTTTAGTGCTTTAATCAAATTATTAACCGGCGGCGTACCGGCGTGCTTTTCCCTCTCTCGTAAATTTTATTTTCGTTTCCCGTAGCGCGACCGTTGGATACTTTATTACAATGAGATCCGAACCTATTAAAGAGACTCGGAACAACCGGATGCTGACTGGCTAGATGGTTAAATGAATCGATCGACGGCCCGTGCTAACTGCCTCGGCAACCAATAATAATTACTCCTTTCTCTGTGCGCCGACTATGTACACACACGTACATACACACCATGTACACTATAATTCATTTTCTTTCTTGATATGTGAAATCGGCGCGTATTTCGCGTCGCGTCGTGCTCCACTGTCGGGCTGAATTGCCATAACGCGGCTGAACTATGGACAAGAGATGTGCATATGTAATTGTATGACACGTGTATCGCGCGTATAGTCTGTGTTTGCACGAAACCCACTGAAGAAACGGTCGTTTGTAGCCTACGGTAGTCTCGGTAACGAGAAGTCGACGATCGTCAATACACACAGGCACATGTAAATGGCCGCGATAGCGGCGTACGTACGATCGCTGCGCAACGTCAAAGAGAGATATGAACGGACGTGAACGTGGATAATTACGTAACGAGTACTCAAGCGCACAATGAAATATCATGTCATCGCGAACATTACGAAATGCGCTTCTGCGAGAAGCACTTAACTCGTGATTGGCGATGGTGCATTCGTAGCGATCGCGTGCAATTCATTAACGTTACGTGGAATAAATATGAAGTGGGAAAAAATTAGAGAAAATTAAAAAGACTCAGATGTCGCTGAACAGTCCTCCAAATATTTCATTGGATAATGCGTTGCATTCCTTCATTGCGTTGCGAAATTCGTATTTCAACTTATTCAATGTACCGCTGCCTTCATCGTCACGCAATGATCTAAGATATGCGAAACTAGAAGGCGCATTCCATCGCAATATATGATATAGTCATCAATTATGGACCGCGATACGAAACGAGCGGCGCTGCTGCGAGAGAGAGAGAGAGAGAGAGAGAGAGAGAGAGAGAGAGAGAGAGAGACGA